GGAAGGGGGTATAAGTGCGTGGTAGGCAAGTTGTTAAAGGAGCTGCAGGAATATCTGGTAAGTACTGGCTATGTGGTACATGTGACAACAATCTCCTGTCTTCTTCATATGTCTGGGCTATGGAGTAGAGTGGCAAGACAAAAGCCTTTTTCTTATGAAGAAAAACATCCAAGCCTGGCAAATTTAGCAAAAACACATCTGAAAGTCTCCCAAAAACGTGTGGGAAAATGTGTTATGGTCTGATGAAACTAAGGTTGATCCTTTTGGCCATAATTCTAGAAGAGACGTTTGGTGCAAAAACAACACTGCACATCACCAAAAGAACACCATACACACAGTGAAGCATGGTGGTGGTGGCAGCATCATGCTTTGGGGCTGTTTTTCTTCAGCTGGAACTGGGGCCTTAGTCAAGGTAGAGGGAACAGAAGAAGATTATAGTTTTGGAATGGCTCAGCCAAAGCCCAGACCTGAATCTGATAGAAAATCTGCAGGGTGATCTGAAGAGGGCTGTGTACAGATGATGCCCTTGCAAACTGACAGATTTGGAGATCAGGATGGCTGTGCATCAGTGTGCTTACAGTAAAGCACACACCCCTCCACCCCCTAGTAAAACACACTCCCTGCACATAGTTAACCCTTTGATCTCCCCTCATGTTAACCCCTTCCTGCCCAGTGCCATTATGCATGAAGGTAAAAAACCTGTGTGCTGCTCCCCTCACAGCCCACCCCTAATACTCACCTGAGCCCCATTCTCAATCCAGTAATGTGCACAGGAGACTCGACTGTCCTGGGTCTCTTTCCTTACTGGCTGAGACACAGCAGCGATAGCCATTGGCTCACACTGCTGTCAATCACAGCAGTGGGGGACAGGGCCAAGCCACACTCTATGTGTTTTTATGGATGTATAGAGCAGTGCTTGGGAGCAAGCGCGCACCAGTGTAGAATAGCAAGTGGCTTGCTCCTGGGGGCTCTTGGTGAAGAGGGAGGAGCCAGGAGTGTCAGTGGGGGACCCGAGAAGAAGAGAATCAGGGGTGATTGTGCCAAACCATTGCATTGAGTAGGAACGTATGACATGTTTGGGGGTGTTTTTTTTTTTTTTTTTTTTTTTTTTTTTTTTGTTTTGTTTTAAAGCTGGCGCTTTTAATATCACTTTACCTGAATACACTAAAGTTACAAGATTACTGGCTACCATGTGCACCTGCACCATATTTTGAGTGCAGCAGTTTTAGTAAATCTCCCTCAATATCCGAAAAAGAAAAAAACCTTGTTTGTCCTTGACCACTCACAGTAAATATACTGTGACCGGGCGGCCGGTACAGACATGATCACGTACATGTACATAAGTCTTATTTTGGCCCCCTGCCAACCTGTGCTATTCTCCCTGAAACGCAGGGAGAAAAAAACCGCCAGATAGTAAAAGCAGCACATATTACACATTGTTAGGCACACTGTTAAACACTTTGCCCCTAGATGTTAACCCCTTCCCAGGCAGTGTCATTAGTACAGTCTCGGCAATAATCATTGTGTTGGTGTCACTCTTGATGTTAGTCCACCTCCCTAGCCCGCCACACTTTCCCAGTGTCGTAAGTCGCTGATCATTGCTATTACCAGTATAGCATCATAGCGGTGTAAATTCCAGTATATATACACCATAGTTTTTAGACACTATAACTTTTATGTACACTTATTGGGGGTTTTTGGGTTTTTTTTGTCTTTTTACATTTGGCATAAATTTATGAAGAAATTATATTTTGAAATGTATTTATTTTTATTAGATATGCTTTATAACAAAGTGGAAAATTTATAGTGTGGGATTTCTTTTTAATCAAAATGTCTTTTTTCATTTTATATATAATAAAAAAAAAAAAAAAAACAGTGGTGATCAAATGCCACCAAAAGAAAGTTCTATTTGTGTGAAAAAATTATATAAATCTCACTTGGGTACAGTGTTGAATGACCAAGCAATGCAAGTTAAAGTAGTGCAGTGCCGAATAGCAAAAAAAATGCCCTGGCATGAAGGGGGGTCTAATCTTCTGGAGGTCAGTTGTTTAAATACTACTAGCAATTTTTTTTTCACTTTAGAGCTCTTCCAGTTCAAGAAACGGGGGATTGCATGTTGGTACATTGAGACATTTTAATTTAATCTTTATCATTTAAAGAATGGTCTTTAATTGGCAAGTGCTTCATGTTGTTTTTTGACCTTCACACCACTGTAAATAGTCTGTCACGCTAGAAAGCTATCCATGTTGAAATAACATTGGTTCAGTACTGCTTTAAACCTGAAACGGTGCCCAGGCAGTAACAGAAAATTATCAGTGCATACAAAGATTTAATCTTTACTAGTGCAAACTAGTAGTTTTTAGGAACAGTGTAATTAAATTGCATTTTCTTTGTAGGACATATACAGCATGCCTATATTTAAAAAAAAAAGGTGAAAAGTTTAATATATATATATATATATATATATATATATATATATATATATATATATATATATAAATTTATTGCAAAATTGATTATTGCGAGGGTGTGTGTTTTACCTCTAGAGGCAGCTTTAGTGTTATCTTATGTGTCCATGGACATTATGACGATTAGAGGCATATTTTAAGCTCAACATTTAGAGGCAGGAGAAAAATCCTTTTGGTTTGCGGTTTTGAGTGGAGCTTCCTGGCAAAAAAAAAAAAAAAAACCCCGCTAAGCTATTGACAAAAACGCTCTATATCAGCGTTTTTGTTTTTTTTTTTAATGCCCAGCATGCATGGAACCTTCAGGCTATGTTCACCTTTGTGGGAAAAAAAAATGGTAACACATATTTTAGCAGAAAAAAATGCATTTATTTCTCTAGAAGCCATCAAAGTAGGGATGCACCGATATATTGTTGCAGGGGTGTGGAAATTTTTGAAAAAACTACTTGTCCAGGGACTAAATCGGTGCCCCAGTCTACTTGTCCCTCATCACAATCTACTTGTCCTGATTAAAAACATTTTTTTTTTAACCAAGACCGTATTTAAATCTGCTTTAAGTCATGTCTGGGGCTTTTAAAAACAAAAGGGGCTTTATGGCGAAGTAACAGTTTAATATTCGTAACATTGCCCTGTTGTCAGGGCTCCAGATATGACCAGAGGTGTGTGGACTGACACAGGGAAATGCAGGCTTCAGGTATAGTGTAAATAAGACAATTTATTGAAGACTAAACAACACAAACGCAGTGCAAGGTAAACCTAACACAGTGCAAACAACCCACACCCAACAGATAACCATATATACAATCAAACGTAGTCGGGCAGGCCGGGTCGGTAGCAAACGGGCAAACGGTACCAGGAGCGAGCGAAAGCGTGGTCAGGAATAGCCGAGGTCAGGACAGGCGGAGTTCGTTCAGAGTCAGGATCAGGCAGGAAGCAGACAGGATGCAGGTACAGGGGCTCATAGGAAACATACACCAAGGCACTGACTGTAGGTCTGGCCATTCCTTAAATACACCTCCTGCAATCAGCCTCAGGTGATGGCTGATTGCAGGAGTGAGCTTCTGGTTGCTGAGAGCACCCGCTGGCTAGCCCTGGTACTGCAGCCCACGTGGCAGATGAGTCCCACCACTAATGGCGAGTCCATTCCTGACAGTACCCCACCTCAAGGAGCAGCCTCAGGACGCTCTAAACAGTTCTTCGTGTGCAAAATGTTCCACCGCCCGGGCAGGTAACTGGCTGGATATCCTACTGCCGGAGTCAACCGGCTGGCTGGGTTCCTGCTGGTAGACTTCTCCTTGTGTAGGAGAACCCAGGAAGGCAGGTTACTAGACACAGGATCTCCCGGAACAGGCCGGGAATCAGTTTATTGGCCAGTTTAGCTGGACATCAGGGGCAGGCCCGTCAGGCTGGGCAGCGGACAGAGGCCCGTCAGGCTGGGCAGCGGACAGAGGCCCGTCAGGCTGGGCAGCGGACAGAGGCCCGTCAGGCTGCAGCGGACAGAGGCCCGTCAGGCTGGGCAGCGGACAGAGGCCCGTCAGGCTGGGCAGCGGACAGAGGCCCGTCAGGCTGGGCAGCGGCAGGCCCGTCCTGGGGCGGACAGAGGCCCGTCAGGCTGGGCAGCGGGCACCGGCCCGTCAGGCGAGCGGGCAGCGGGCACCGGCCCGTCAGGCACGACAGCCAGGCCCACCTGGCACGACAGCGGGCACCGAGGCACCAGGCTGGACCGGGCACCGAGGCACCAGGCCGGACCGGGTCATCAGGCTGGATCACGAACACCGGGTCATCAGGCTGGATCGGGCCTCAGGCTGGGTAGCGGGCACCAGGTCACCACGGGAGATCGCCGGGTGCGCGCCCCGGGGGGGGGGGGGCGTGCAGGAAAGCGTGTTCTGGGAGGACGTAATATGACGCCCTCCCAGAACTGGCTGGCCGCAGTGTAGCCGTCATTGGCTATCTGTGGTTGGCAACTGGTTAATATTGTACAAGTTAATGGTCAAAGGAAATATGGATAGCCCTAATGTGGACTGGGTTGGAGAAATTTCTCTATTTGGGACAAATATTTATCAACATTCTCCCTCAAGAAATCTATGAAGATAAACTAATTCCACTTTTCAGACTGTTGGAATATTGTATGAGTTTTGTCTTATGATGGACAGATTATACAAGTAAAAGCAAACACTTGAAAGACCGCATGCTTTAACTACCTGCCGACCGCAGATAGCCCAATGACGGCTGCATTGCGGCCGGCCATGAGTGGACGTCATATGACGGCGGGGCGCGCACCCGGCGATCTTGATCGCTGTGTCCTACGGACCAGATCACTGAGTGGTAAAAGACCAATCACAGCGGCCTTTTACCACGTGATCAGCTGTGTCCAATGACACGCTGATCAGAGGGAAATGCAAGTGCCGGTTCTCGGCTGCACTTTCCTCACGCTGTCAGATCGTGAGGAAAGTACTGCCGAGAACCGGCAGTTGTCAGAGTGGGGATCGGCACCGATCATCAGGGCACCGATCATCAGTGCCCTGATGATCGGTGCCCAGCAGTGCCACCCGCAAGTTCCGCCCACCTGTGCCCAGCAGTTGCGCCCACTAGCTGCACCCACCTGTGCCCAGCAGTGCACCCACCTGTGCCACTCTGCAGTGCCACCTACCTGTGCCCAGAAGTGCCACCTACCTGTGCCCAGCAGTGCCACCTACCTGTGCCCACCCACCAGTGCCGCCCAGCAGTGCCACCCACCAGTGCAGCCCAGCAGTGCTGCCAGTCAGTGCCACCAGTCAGTGCCCAGGGGTTGTGCCAGTCAGTGCCACCAGTCATTGCCCAGCAGTGATGCCAGTCAGTGCCGTCTATCAGTACCCATCATCAGTGTCACCTATCAGTGCCGCCTATCAGTGCTGCATATTAGTGCCGCCTATCCGTGACACCTCATTAGTGCTGCCTATCAGTGCCCTTTAGTGCCGCCCAGTGCCCATCAGTGCTGCTTCATCAACACACATCAGTGAAGGAGAAAAAATGCCTGTTTGAAAAATGTTATAATAAAACAAAGAAACTTTTTTTTTTTTTTCAAATTTTTTGCACTTTTTTTATTTATAGCGCAAAAAGTAAAGCGCCCAGTGGCAATTAAATACCACCAAAAGAAAGCTCTATGAAAAAAATGATCAAAATTTCATATGGGTACAATGTTGCATGACCGCGCAATTGTCAATCAAAGTGCGGCAGCGCTGAAAGCTGAAAATTGGCCTGGTAAATAAGGGGGTATAAGTGCCTGGTAGGCAAGTGGTTAATGTACTTTGTGTATTCAGGGGTGGGTTTGTTGCCGGGCTGTCTGCGGTGGGTTCCCTGAGTAATCACAGCATTGTCCTGGGTGCCTGGCTCTTGATTAGCTTACTGTTAATTATATCACTGTTATCTGTTGGCTTTACTGTTGTGATCAAGCTCTTACCTAATCAGTGTGTGATGTTTATCGCAATGTGTAATATTTGTTTTACTGTTCGTGGGGGCACTGCCCCTATTTCTGGATTGTTTAAAAACCTGTGTTTTCTGTTCCATAAAGAGTTAGTTTGGCATCTAAGCTAGTCTTGGGTGCGATGCCCGGCTCTTAATACCTTTCTCCTGCGTCCCATTGGCGAGAAAGCGGTTCCATGGCAGAATCGCCTAATAGAGATGACAGGCGTTCTGTCACATTTGGTGAGGAAAGATTTATTGTCTTTATGCAGAGAATTCATCCAAATCTCGCTCTCAGCGTTCATCATGTTGTTGTCCATCATTAGAGAATGATCTGCTCTCTCCATGGGCCATAATCAGTGTGTAGAAGGCTAGCCCTTAGTCCCCTCCAAAAGCTCCTGTCCTGGTTTGGTCTGTCACACTCCAGTTTTGTTGGGGGGGGGACATTCCCCTCTAAGTGATCAATATACATTACAAGGATTTTAACCCCTTCCCTCCAATAGTGCCAATTTATGTGGCCTCGCGGAAGTCCATGAGGCTGCATATATGCCTTTCTATCAGACCAGGCTCTCACTGAGAGCCCAGGTCAAGTGCTAACGACCGGGACCTGATTGCTGTGATAGTCTCTGATTGGCCATCATAGGGACCAGTCGCTGTGCAGGCCGCCCTTGTGTTTTCTTTCTTTTTTGAATGGAGAGAAAGATGCATTGTTCTGTCTCCTTGCTGGGGAGAAAAATGTAATCAAACAAGTTTTTTGGGGTCCAGTGTTCCTTTTGATGATAAAAAAACAGGAGATATCCATTACCATTTAGCACCAAAAGAAAGCACAATTTTCTTGAAAAAAGCAAGGTATAAATCAGGGTGGATTTGATTTAAATCAAACTGATTTAAATCAAACGATTTAAATCACTAGTCAGTAAGGCTTGATTTAAATCCTAGTTTTCTACATATAGACTAATTCTTGCTGGTATAACTTTAATATGCAAGTAGATGAAGATTTTTAGAATAACAACTTTTCATATTAGTTTTTATATCCCCAGTTTAATAGGTTAATCATTCATATTTGGACAACTTTTCTGTTGTTCTTAGGAAGGAGAAAAATAATCATTACCTTAATAATAACAATTGAAATAGATTTATTCAACTGAAACAATAACATTACAGCATATGTGATTTGCTTAAACAAACATCCATGTTGTTAACTAATTTGGCTAAACAAAATATATATATTTTAAGAAACTTAGACTGTCAGCCCCTTCCTCCTCACACTTGGTTTCACTTTCTTCTTGTTCAGATCTATTCCACTCCAAACAATCAGAAAAAATATTGTTTCTATTCTATTCACTGAACTTCTTGAAACTTAGCACTGAAGGGGTTGATTCTGTATTCATAGGTTTGTAGAAGTTAGGATTAAGGTCTTTTTCTTAACTCTGTTCATGTTATATAACATTTTTGCTGTGAAGAAGAGGCATGTGATCTCCGCTGAGTCAAATTCAGTTTTGAGAACTGCAAAAGTAAACCAAGCATCTGTGATAATATCTTGTAGGCAGAGAAACTGCCCAATAATCTTACAAAAACCTCTGGAAGAGCATGACATTGTGAATGGATTAATGGAATTTATTTACCAAAAAAATTAAACATATAACAGCCTTATTCTACATAATTAAAAAAAACTAATCTTTATTTCATGATGGAATAACCTTTGGATGGTAATATATTTTCCTCAAAAAGCATTTTATTTACAAAAAATCCAATTTAAATAAAAAAAAATCCGATTTAAATCAAAAAAGTCCGATTTTTTTTTTTTTTTTTTTTTTTTTTTTTTTTTTTTTTTTTTTATCATTTGATTTTTATCCACCCTGGTATAAATCCCTTGTATACACAAGTAAGATATGTACTACTGTTGCAGATTCCTGTCTTTTGTTCTGAAGAGGTGGCTATTTGTTTCTGTGTCAGTGTGAATGGGAGTGGTTTTATAATTCTCAATCAGCTGTTGCACTTCCAAGGCTCTAATGAGGGATGCCACAAGTCTTCATCCCTTTAGAGGAGATTTCCCTTTGAGAGTAACTCGCCAGAAAAATATATTTTTGTTGCGGGGGATGCCCAAAATCTGACTTACAAATTTTTCCGGAAGTCTTCACTAAGATCTAAGCCACTCAAACAAGCAGGAAATGACATTTCTGAGGAGTATTCTGTACACCAACAGTGTACAGAACGCCTTCTGGCAGCCATATTGCATTGCATTTTATAGGAAATTACAGCACTGCATATTAGAAAGCAAAGTTAGTTTTTATTAACATTCAATTACCATCTGACTTGTGTCGTAATTGTACATTCAGGTTTTTTTTTTATACTTTTTTTTTTTTTTTTTCCAGTGAAAATGCAGTTACTTTTTAACCCCTTGACACCGACGTCACACAAATATGCGGCCTCACAGAATTGGTCTTTTTTTCCGTGGGGCTACATATTTGCTTACCTGTTTTTTGTGCTGGGAGCACACCGCACATCGCCTCCCTTGTTTGTTTGTTTTTTCTCTCTGAATGGAGGAGAGAGATGCATTGTCCTTCTCCCACTCCTAATAACATACACATATATGCTATCCCTTCGATTGCAAGAGCTGGCAAATTTATTTTGGGTTGTTCTTTGGTGGTAGGTTATGGTAGTAAAAAGAAACTCCGCTAAATTTAAAATTTTTTTTTTTTTTTTTTTTGTTTTATTTTGGGCCAGTTTTCCTTTGATAATAAAAAATCAGGAGATATCCATTACTATTTACCACGAAATGAAAGCCCAATTTGTCCTGAAAAGAAAACGAGGTATAAATATTTATTTCATGTACTTATATTGCGCTGTCAATTTACGCAGTCATCACATCCCTAACCCTCAAGGGGTATACAATCTAAGGTCCCTAACTCACATTTATACATATTAGGGCCAATTTAGACAGGAGCCAATTAACTTACCAGCATGTCTTTGGAGTGTGGGAGGAAAGCAGAGTACCCGGAGGAAACCCACGCAGGCACAGGGAGAACATGCAAACTCCAGGCAGGTGGTGCTGTGGTTGGGATTTGAACCAAATTCACCTGGATGTACAAAGTAGTTGTGATGATATATACAGTTTTACTAACACATGTCAGTTGCGAAATTGTGCTTAGGCGTTTAAGTTTTTTTTTACTCCTAGGCGTGAAGGGGTTAAGGAAGCTTGTGCTGGGGCTGTTTAGTCTATACCAGCAAAGAGAAAAAGGCATTTACAAGCAAACTTTGGTTATAAGTGATACTGTAGAGGGTTATAAAGAGAGTAAAAGATGTGAAACTACAATTAGGCTTTCGTTTTGTTACAAAAAAAACAAGCTTGCCAGTAAAAAATATTTCTGATGACCAAGGACAGTTTTATCGTAAATATTTTAAATTGAGGTTCTGCAAAGTGCTATCATCTATTGAAGTCTTTTTTTGATTGTTGCATTATTTTATTTGCAGACAAACACGGGCAGTTTGTAAAGGGATTGGCTTCTTTTGGCAAATTGACATAATAAGCAAGTTTGCTTTACACGTACTAACAACGTCTGTCCTAAAGAATTGGTAAGTGCCTTTTTTATTCTGAGATACTATAAATGATAGTTTATTTTCTGTGTTAAAGTGGTATTAAATTCAAAGGCAAATACTTATTTTATTGCAGCTTACCAATTCGTAGATGTGGTGGCTGCGTTTTTTTTAGTTCTTTTTTTAGGCTTTCTTTCATTTAATTTCTTCTCGCGATCCAGCCAGTAAGTCTTTTTTGTTTTTTCAACAGGACAAATTTAGCAGATTTGGGGTTTAGACAAACCATTTACCTCTAACGGTGGTGTTTACAATGATCAGCTTTTATTTTATTCATGTAAAACCTTTTATCCCAAAAGAAAAAAAAACTGTTTCTGTAACTGCTTGTGCGACCTTTAGTTTTGCTTCAGTTTGTTAGTGTATCTAAATCTGCAAGTACAGTGGAGAAAATAATTATTTGATTCCCTGCAGATTTTGTACGTTTGCCCACTTACAAAGAAATGAAGGGCCTATTATTTTTCTCATAGGTGTGTTTTAAATGATAGACAGAATATCAACCAAAAATTTAGAAAATACAAATGTTGTAAATTGAGCTGCAGTTCAGTAAATTAAGTATCGGGTCCCCTACCAACAAAAAGTAATTCTGGCTCCCGCAGACTGGCTATGTGCTCATGTAGTACACAGATTAATCCTTTCAATTTAAGAATGTGCTCCTAATGACAACTCGGGATGTGTATCAAAAACACCTGTCCACAGAATCTTTCTTCCATTCAAATTTCACCATCATGGGCAAGACCAAAGAACTGTCAAAGGACGTCAGGGACAAGACTGTAGACCTGCACAAGGCTGAAATGGGCTACAAGACCATTAGCAAGAAGCTTGATGAGAAGAAAACAACTGTTGGAGCAATTATTCGCAAATGGAAGAAATACAAAATAACCATCAATCGCCCTCAATCTGGAGCTTCATGCAAGATTTCGCCTCATGGGATAAGGATGATCATGAGAAAAGTAAGGGATAAGCCCAGAACTACATGGGAAGAGCTTGTTAATGATCTCAAGGCAGTTGGGACCACGGTCACCAAACAAACCTTCCGTAACACAATACACCACCATGGGTTGAAATCTTGCAGTGCCCGCAAGGTCCTCCTTAAGAAGGCACATGTATAGACCCATCTAAAGTTTGCCAATGAACATGTAAATTATTCAGAGAAGGATAGGGAGAAAGTGCTGTAGTTAGATGAGACCAAAATCGAGCTGTTTGGCACGCCGTGTTTGGAGGAAGAAAAATGCTGACTTTGACCCTAAGAACACCATCCCTACAGTCAAGCACGAAGGTGGAAAAATTGTGCTTTGGGGCTGTTTTTCTGCTAAAAGTACAGGTGGGCTTTGTCACATTGAGGGAGCCAGTGGACGGGGCCATGTATTGTAAAATCTTGAATGAGAACCTTCTTTCCTCATCCAGAAGATGGGTCGTGGATGGGTCTTCCAGCAAGGTATTGACCCAAAACATACTGCCAAAGCAACAAAGGAATGGCTCAAAAAGAAGCACATTAAGGTCATGGAGTGGCCTAGCCAGTTTCCAGACCTTAAAGTGATTCTAAAGGTTCTTCTTTTTTTTTTTTTTTTGGTTAAAAAAAAAAACAAAAACAAACATGTCTATACTTACCTTCTGCGTGCAGTGGTTTTGCAAAGAGCAGCCTGGATCCTCTTCTCAGGTCCCCCTCCGGCTCTCCTTGCTCCTCCTGTCTGTTGGGTCACCCCACAACAAGCAGCTTGCTGTGGGGGCACCCACTGCTCCGTGTGTCCATTCACAGAGGGAGCCATGGCTTGGCCTGCCCTCTCTCTCCTCATTGGTTGACTGGCTGTGATTGACAGCAGCGGGAGCCAATGGCTCCCATTTGCTGTCTCAGCCAATGAGGAGTCCTAGACCCAGGACAGCCGAGACTGTCTTTCACATTGCTGAATCGCGATGAGGCTCAGGTAAGTATTGGGGGGCTGGGGGAGTTGCTGCACACACCTTCATGCATAGAGCTTCTGCTTTTAAAAAATAGACCTACTGGCTGGATCACCAGATGAAAATAGAAGAAGCTTAAAAAAAGAAATCTAATGCAGTCATCATACCGAACAATAGGTAAGCTGCAAAAGAATGCTTTTGGGTTTAATAATGCTTGAAATGCATTGTAAACCTTCCTACCAGCACCGTGTGTGGGTTTTTGTTTTTTTTTTTTTCCTTTCTCTCTGCATAAGCTGTGCGTTCATCATATAGTTGTGTTATTTGTTGCCTGTATTCACAGCCTATGTTAGTGTAAATCCTCACATTCCTATGTCAGAGGTTTCTGTTGTGTAGAAACATGAGGTATTCAGCATGGTACTGCACAGATTAAACAGTATGTATACCCAACATGTCATATTCCTGACATGTGGCTGCTGTACCATGTGCTTTTATGAAAAAGTATCCTGTTCTTTGTGTTGCTTCCTTTGTGTGAAATCCCTGGTGTTTCTACCAGTTTCTTTTCCTACTATAAAATGACCACATTAAGCAGGAGAACACAGCGTGGTCCGTTCTCTAGCTTTGCTGGGTACTCAGCCTGCACCCCACTCCAATGATTGGACTTGTCTTGACACCCCACCCCCTGCAGTCTTTTACTGGGAAGATCGGATTGTGTACTGCAATTTCGTCTCCTCCATCTGTCATGCAGCTGAGAAAAAAAGGGTGTGTGATCACTTCTGGAAAAAAAGTGTTCATAATGTTTTTATATGTATTTATTTACAAATGATTTTACTTTGTTTTCTATTTTAAACTGAATGGGTTGTTTTTATAAGGTGATGGTTTACAATCACTTTAATGCTTGAGCTCTGTCTATAGTGTGCTACCGACATTTCCTGTGAGGAAACTACATGTCTCGCAATCCTTGGGTCTCTGTTTAGTGCTGGTGCATGTGAGAGATAAACAGTAGTTAGGTCAGATGCACACAGGAAGAACGTGTGCGTGCAAACATCAAACGCACATCACAATGTAGCTGGAAGATTATTGCATTGGCACTCTCACATTTGGGATGTAACACATGCATTGTGACCCAGAACAGGAAGGTGTCTTGTGCTTTTGGGGAATAGGGACAGGCAAGATTTAGAAATACATGGAAAACTGAAATCGATCAGCCATGACACTATAAACTTCTGCCACAACATATGAGCCCATCATACAGCACAGAGAATAGAACTACACTAATATACCCAGTTAAGAACAAAAACAGTTGAAAGTTTACAATTCCTTTAAGGTAAGCAGTAACATCTTAGAAATATGTACAAGCATAAATCCATGCACCACACCTGCAATGCATACAAGGTACCCTTGGTATATGTTCCACACCAAAGGTGCTTGCCAAGAAGCTACTAATATTTTTGTACGAAGGGCACTGTGCAATCCAGTATTACAGTATATAATGTCCCACAAAGTCGAAGTAGGATTTAATATGTATACTGCCTGTTCAAACAGGCTAACGGTAAGGCCCCTTTCATGGGCAGTATGTCAATGTCAGTTTTTCATCTGTTCGGGTACGGATGAAAAACGGACACCCATGTATTTCTATGGACTAGCGGATGTAAACAGATGATCATCTGTTTACATCCATTAATGTCAGCATCCGTTTTTTTGAATGGAAGAAAACCCTATTTTTCTTTCGTTTTTAAAAAAAAAAAACAAAAAACGGAATGGATTAAAAATAAATGCAAACAGACGTAAACTTGCAAAAAAGATGTAAACGGATGAACAACGGATGTGAACTGACGTTAGCTGATGAAAAACTGATGTGAACTGATCTGTTTTTTCTGGGAAAACACATGACTGAACTGATGAAAAAAAAAAACGGAACGCCCGTGTGAATGGGGCCTAAATTGTATTTCTATTTTGTGTGTAAACTCTTTTGTGGGTAAATTGTCACAGAAATTTGCAATACCCGTTTTCATTAGTGAACTTCTGCTGAAATCCTCATTCACATATATCTATTTGTATTATACCATTTGTAATGCATTACCCGGTTACCAGCATCTAGTAAGTTGTCATGTGACCGCCATGATTCGCTGAAAGAGGAGATCGGGACCTTTTCGTGAGTACCGAACGTGTGTGCTGGGAGCGCGCAGGGTGCGCACTCTCAGCACATGTTTTTTTTAATAGAACGCAAATGTGCAGCCTCCCGGTGTCTGGGCCTAGACGCCGGGAGGCCGCACATTTGCGTTTGGCCGGCGCCAAGAGGTTAAAGATATTCAGTATTGTTTACTGTTCATTGACCTCTCTGGATGTCTGTACAATATTGTGCAATCTTTTGATGTGAACTGTATCTGGGTATACAGATCAAGATAACGTCTGCACAATACCAGTGGATATATGTGGTTGGACAACACATAAACTTGGCTTATATGCCACAAATGGAGGCAACTTGAAATGGTAGCTAGTACTTGCCTGATTCAGAGTCCATTCATGCCTGATTCAGTAGGCTAGATCTTCCTGTGTTCATTTAGCTATGGAGCTTGAGCATATTTTTTTTTTTTTTTTTTTTCTTTAGAGTTTGTCGCTAAATATTATGACATTGGTAAGCTAAATTTGGAATGATGTAAGTGACCCTTGAGAAATGGGCTGATTTGTTTGGAATTTAAAGATTTTACATTTAGCAAACCTTTAAGAACCAATTTTTGTACCAGTGCTGCCTCATTTATATGTGTGTATTTTATTTTATTTTTTTCAGCCACATACAGAAAATGGTTCCAAACGGATTTCTTAGTTTTGAGGATGAACAGTTTATAGAGTCATCAGTTGCCAAACTAAATGCCCTGCGGAAAAGTGGCCAATTTTGTGATGTCAAACTTCAGGTAGTTGCTGTACACTTTTTTAGTAATGTCACATCATATTGATCGATAGCATAAGATTTTATGGGCTGCAGGATGCTATTGATTAAATCATTGATGCAAAGCAGCCAATTTCATACAATTAGAATTTGGATGCTTTTTGTTGTTGGCCTCTATAGCCAAAAACAATTGCTTTCCTCCAGGGAAGCCCCAAGACTGATTTTGTAAACTTCCATTGAAACTGGACAATAAATACAAGCTCTGTAGATTAACGTTCTTTAGCATTAAGCCCTTTACTGATCCAACCTTGATCTATAGTCCACCAAACAGGAGTACACGTCTTATTGACAGACAAGGTTACCTATAATATCAGTGCTTATGGCTGGGAAACCTACCTAGAAGAGCTTGTTGTACCTGATTCCTTTGTTTTGAACATAGCATTCTTCAGTCTGAGAGTACATTTGGTAATTCGGAAATGCTGTTAAAGGAAACACCGAGGAGCATTCTGATTGAGTATGGGGTTGGGTTTTATGCCAGCTTTGAGGTCTTACGTTAGCATTGCTGTCCCCTCTCTTTCTTAGGCTGTTTCAGAAGAATGCGTTGGAGCATTGTGAATGAAAATCAGGGTTATTATATGACAGCCTTAGCTACCTTATGGGCAGAACATTGAACTGGCCTTGAGCTAATGCTCACACATTTATTTTGTATTACTGGAGAATTTTGGCAGGTTTAGCTGGAAAAATGTAAGCGTAGCCACATCTGTTTTTTTTTTTTTTATGTCATTGCTGTTTTTCTTTTGCATTCAGAGGAAGGGTGAGTGTGTTGGGTTTTAGTTGTGGTAGGTAAAATCTTATTTCTATCCTGAAGTATTTTACAAACTTTCTGTTTGATTAGCTTATAAATCAATGCATATGTTTCCGAGTTTAACCACTTGCCTACCAGGCACTTTTACCCCCTTCCTGCCCAAGCCAATTTTCAGCTTTCATAGCTGCCGCACGTTGGACAATTGTGCAGTTATGCAAAACTGTACCTATGTGAAATTTTTATAATTTTTTCCACATAAAGAGATTTTTTTTGGTGGTATTTAATCACCACTGGGTTTATTTTTTGCACTAAAAATACCAAAAATTTTGAAACATTGCAAGGTTTTTTTCTGCGTTTCTTTTATATAATCTTGTAAATATAATAATCTTTCTACACAAATTTAGGCCAAAATGTATTCTGCTACATTTTTTTTGGTTAAAATAACCCAAATCAGTGTTTATTATTTAGTTGATAGGAAAGTTATGGACTCCACAAAATAGTATGTATCTAAAATGGCTAAATCCTGATATACTGACGACATCATTTCTTTTTGGCCCAAAAATGGCAGGACTGTAAAATACGCCTCAAATGACCGCTTTTCAGAAAGTAAACAGTTGTCATTTTCTGTCATACTTTTCTGTAAAATGAAGAAATGAGAAATTTTTTCACAATTTTTTTATTTTTTACATACTGTATCCAATGCGATACAGCAGGGGTGGGCAACTGTGGCCCTCCAGCTGTTGGTGAACTACAAGTCCCATCATGCCTCTGCCTTTGGGAGTCATGCTAGTAACTCAGTTTTGCAATGCTTCATGGGACTTGTAGTTCTAGAACAGCTGGAGGGCCACAGTTGCCCACCCCTACAAAACAGCATCCTATAACTGTTGCGGCGGTGAACTGGGATACTGGATACATTTAGGTAAAATAAAAATAATTTTAAATAATTTTTTATATATTTTAAATTTATTTTTATAAAATGTTTTTTTGTTTCTACTGCTGTGACCAGAGCAATAGTGTTACCATAGTAACATTGTAGTACTCTGGGCAAGTGATCAAGATTTTTTTTTTTTTTTTTTTTTTACACATGGTTGCTTATACCAACAAATTTCATTGGTATAAGCAAGCATTTTTACTGAATGAAACTGATTTTTTTTCAGTAGTTTTTGTTGTAATCAGCTGCGATTGGCCACAGCTGATCACATGCTACAGATGGGCTGTGATTGGCCCAGTCTGTACATGTGACCAATCACAGCTAGCAACACAGTTGTAAGCAGTGAATGGTATGAAAGGAAGTAATTAATTGTTAACAACTGTTATGTGATCTGCTGTAGTTGGTCACGATGATCACATGACACTGGCAGCGGGCCGGTATAGTGATCTGTCATTGGTCGTGACCGGTGGATACAGCTGGTGATGGATTGTGCTGGAGCATGGCCTGTGGTGCGATAGTAAGGATCCCGCTCAGCCATCATTTTGCAATAGGCTGGTCAAGAAGTAATGTTAATCACAGGCTCCCTGTTCTTATCAATGAAGGTTTGAGACAAGCATTTACGAAATTTAAATTGTTGCCCATAGGGAACCAAATTGATTTCTTGATTCTTCCCGTTTTAGACTGGTTTAAACTTGCCCTCCAGAGGATTTTACCCCCCTTCCTGACCAGGCCATTTTTTGCGATACGGCGCTGCGTTACTTTAACTGACAATTGCGCAGTCATGCAATGCTGCACCCAAATTAAATTTTCGTCTTTTTTTTTTTTTTTTTTTTTTCTTTCGGTGATATTTGATCAACCTGTGCATTTTTATTTTTTGTGCCATAAAAAAAGATTGCCAATTTTGAGAAAAAAAAAACAATATTTTTGACTTTTTGCTATTAAACATGCCCAGTTAAATTTAAAAAAATCAAATGTCGCCATAAATTTAGGCCAAAATGTCTTCTGCTGCATGTCTTTGCTAAAAAAAAAAAAAAAAAAAAAAAAAAAAAAATTCCTATACATGTAAATGAATTGGTTTATGTGAAAGTTGTAGTGTTTTACAAATGGCGGTATATAAACTGGATTTTTTTTTTTTCTTTACTAGTAATGGGGGCGATCAGCGACTTATAGCGGGACTTCAGTGGGCATTCCTGACACTGGAGGGAACTGACTTGGTGTCACTGACATCCCCAGTGACACCAATACAGTGATCAGTGTAATAAAAAGCACTGACACTGCACTAATGACACTGGGCAGGAAGGGGTTAACATGTGGGGCGATCAAAGGGTTAACTGTGTGCTGTTTTACTATGGGGCTGTGTGTTTCACTGTAAGCACACTGCTTTTTATGGCTCTGCTAAGCAGTGTGCAGGAGCTGACATGTGAGAGATCTGTATTGTTTTTTACATACAGGTCTCTTCCTCCGTTGGAAATCCTTGGAGATCGCGGGTGCACGCTCCCCCTGCCTGGAACTGCAAAATCATGTATATATACATGATTTTGCGCACCCCTGCCGCCCTGTAGCAGTACTGCTGTTTTAGGGCAGCATGGAAGCATATAAACACATTTTAATTACAAAAAAGGTAAATAACATGCAGGGTCATTTTGGGGCTAAATATGTGGTACCATCTTTTTAAAGGCCTATTTACACCAGAATGTGGTATGGGGAAAATTGCTTGCGTATTTCCTGCACTGTACTTGCTATCTGTAGCAGGTGTCAGTACAGTGCTAATAACACCCCAAACGTGGGTCACAAACGCAGTGTGTTTGCCTGCACCAGATCGTATGGTAGAGAAGTACCAGGCGATCTGGTTGCTGTGTTTTTTAAAGTAGTGCATGCGCTACTTTTGCTGCAATCCAGCATAATTTCAAATCATTCAAATGAATGGGCCGAAATCGCACTGCTTCCTGACTGCATGTGAATCGCACATTAATGCTTGGTGCAGGAATGCACCGAGCATTACTGGGTGATTCATGGTGTGAACCAGCCTTTAGACTCTCTTCACACTTGCAAATGGAGCTATTAATTACATCTGACTGATGTTGTGGGCCACTGCCCCAATAAAAGCAATGGGCGGCTGAGAGCTAATCATGGTTGCTCATGAAGCGATGGAGCTATTACCTGCAATGAACAGCCGTGAGCACAGACGGTCTGTGTCCAGGGCCGATTCGTGCAGGTAATCGCTCCATGATCATTACAAGTAATTGCTTCATCTGACTAGTAGCTGAAGTTGTCTGCCTCCCATTTGCAGGCTGCCACCTGCATGTAATACTTAACAACACCATTCACAAGTGTGAATGGGGCCTTAGGGCTTCTCTCAGACCAGCAAGATTTATAAATGAGTTATAAAGTATTAAAAATATGCATTTTCTAATATTTTTCTATTTACCTTTTCAAGGTTTGTGGCCATGAAATGTTGGCACACAGGGCAGTTCTTGCATGCTGTAGTCCTTACTTGTTTGAAATTTTCAATAATGACACCGAGTCTCATGGAATATCTCATGTTAAGTTTGATGACTTGAATCCAGAAGCAGTAGAAGTTCTGTTAAACTATGCATACACTTCACAGTAAGTTATCTTTTTGCTGTATCTTTATAAAAGTACTAAAAAGAGAAATTTAGCTTGTATTGTCTTGTCATTCTGTATCAAAAGGAAGCCATAAAGGCAAGAATATAGAAATTTGTTAACGTTTTCTATGCAACGGTAAACACAGATACAGACCCCCTTCACATTTTTTTTTTTTTTTTATGTTGCAGCCTGATACTACAGTTGTTTAAATTCATTTTTTTTTATCATTAATCTACACTCAGTACCTCATAATCACAAAGTGAAAACAGAATTTTAGGAATGTTTGCTATAAAAGAGAGAAACTGAAATATCACATTAGCATAAGTATTCAGACCCTTTGCAACAACGCTTGAAATTTAGCTCAGGTCCTCCCATTTCTCTTGATTGTTGCAAAGATGTTTCTACACCTTGATTGGAGTCCACCTGTAGTAAATTAAATTGATTTGAACATGGCTTGAAAAGGTACACAACTCTCCATAAAAGGCCTCATAGCTGTCAAAGCATACTGTATCAGAGCAAAAGCCAAGAGATCAAAGGAAATGCCTACAGAGCTCAGAGACAGGATTATTGCAAGTCATAGATCCGGGGATACAAACAATGTGCTGCACTGAAGGTTCCCAAGAGCACAGTGGCCTCCATAATTCTCAGATGGAAGACGTTTGTCACAACCAGGACTCTTCCAACATCTGATTGCCTGGCCAAACTGAGTAATGGGGGATAGGGCCTTAGTGAGAGGTAACCAAAATCCTGATGGTCCCTTTGACTGAGCTCCAGAGATCCTGTATTGAGGTAGGATGAAGTTCCAGAAGGACAACCATCACTGCAGCCCTCCACCGAAAGCTTTTTTCAAACTCCCAAGTGGGCTTTCATGTGTTTTGCACGAAGGAGAGGCTTCCATCTAGCCAATAAAGCCCAGAAAAGTAGAGGGCTGCAGTGACGGTTGTCCTGGAACTTTGTCCCATCCTCCCATTCCCTGGAAGCTGCATATGTGTTATGCGGTTGTGACATAATCAGTACTTGTTCACCATTTTGCCAATGTACACTACATTGACAAAAAATATTGGGACGCCTGCCTTAAAACGCACATGATCTTTAATTGCATCCCTGTCTTGGTCCATAGGACTCAATAATTGAGTTGGTCCACCCTTTGCAGCTGTAACAGCTTCATCTCTTTTGGGAACGCTGTCCACAAGGTTTAGGAGTGTGTCTATGGGAATGTTTGACCATTCTTCCAGAACCACATTTGTGAGGTTAGGTACTAATGTTGGACTAGAATGTCTGGCTCGCAGTCTCAGCTCTAATTCATCCCAAAGGTGTTCCATTCGGGTTGAGGTCAGGACTCTGTGCAAGCCAGTCAAGTTCCTCGACCCCAAACTCGCTCATCCATGTCTTATGGACCTTGCTTTGTGCACCGGTGCACAGTCATGATGGAACAGGAAGGGGCCATCCCCAAACTGTTCCCACAAAGTTGAGAGCATGAAAATGTCCAAAATGTCTTAGTATGCTGATGCCTTAAGAGTTCCCTTCGCTGGAACTAAGGGATCAAGCCAAACCCCTGAAAAACAACCCCACACCATAATCCCTCCTCCACCAAACTTTACTTTTTGGTACAGTGCAGTCAGGCAAGCAGCATTTTCCTGGCAACTGCCAAATCCAGACACGTCCATTGGATTGCCAGACAGAGAATGGTGAGACATCACTCCAGAGAACACATCTCCACTGCTCTAGAGTCTAGTGGTTGCGTTCTTTACACCACTACATCCGTGGCTGGGCATTGCACTTGGTGATGTAATGCTTGGATTCTCGGCCATGGAAACTCTCTTCGCACTGTTGTGCTAATCTGAAGGCCACATGAAATTTGGGGGTTTTTAGCTATTGACTCTGCAGACAGTTAGTGACTTCTGCACACTGTGCGCTTCAGCATGCACTGACCCCGCTCTGTCATTTTACGTTGCTGTTCCCAGTTGCTTCCACTTTGTTATAATACCACGAACGGTTGACCGTGGAATATTTAGTAGCAAGGAAATTGCACAGGTGGTAACCTATCACAGTACCATGCTTGAAGTCACTGAGCTTCTGAGAGCGACCCATTCTTTCACAAATGCTTATAGAAGCAGTCTGCATGCCTTGGTGCTTGATTTTATACACCTGTGGCCATGGAGGTGATGGGAACACCTGAATCCAATGATTTGGAGGGGGTGTCCCAATACTTTTGGCACTATAGTGTATGTAAAGACAAAGAATTTTTTGCACCTACTGGCATTATAGGAAAGTGCTAGTAGTACCTACCTGGCTGCTAAATCCTGGTGATTTCTGGTCATGTGTCCCTTCCCCTATAGCCTTTAGTAACATTTTACATGTTACACCCATATGTAGGGTGTAACCTATTACTATAAAGTAGTCCTTTAGCAAGGTAAAAAAAAACCTCTGCCTATAAAATCACTTACTGCTCCTGCCCAGGACTACATGTCCCATGATGCATTGTTCCTCACACAAGTTCTCATGCACTTACTGACATGTATGTATGGTGTACTGGGCTGTATGTGTGCTGCACTGCGTATACTGACATGTACAAGCAGTGTACTGAGCTGCACTTGTGCGGCACTGTATTTTCTGATGTGCAGGCAAATAATGCATTCTGTATTCATGACAACTAATCGGCTGACCTACTAATTGATTGTGAAAATAGTTGGCAACTATTTTCATAATCGATTATGTTGTTTAGTTGTTTCAGCCCTAGATATAACGGTACACTTTTAGTGGTATGTTTATCAGGCCAAAAGTGAGCAAATAAGTTCATTATTAGACTTTAATAAACATTAACATCAATTGTTGGTACTATACATTAACGTTTGTTTTCCTCTTGTAGGCTGAAAGCTGAGACGGAGTTGGTAAAAGATGTTTACTCTGCAGCAAAAAAGCTTAAAATTGATCGTGTAAAGCAGGTAGTGTTTCCAGGGGTGCTGGGTAGAGATTTTTGTTTGCAAAGTAACACAACGTTTGGACAGACCTTCCCTTATGAATTTTCAGAATTGGGCCCACTGTTTTCTTCTCTAGACTGAGGTGCTGATTTCACCTTCCTCTTTGTCCATGTTAACCTTTTACTTCTGACAGATTAGTGACAACTGAGGAAAGAGGGAAGGTATCATTGGAGGGTATTTGTGTATTTCATATCCAGTTAAACTGTTTTCTATAATAGATGTCATAACAGTTGAAAAGCTATAGCTACAATTAAAATAAGACTTTTCTATAACATAGAAGTATTTGGTAATGAGTAAGCCACCCTGCACAAAACACAAAGGTTTGTTATTTCTGCATAAATGTAATTTTTTTCCTTTTTAAAGGTGTGTGGTGAATATTTATTATCCAAGATGGATGTAGAGAGCTGCATCTCATACCGTAACTTTGCAAATGTGATGGGAGATTGGCGTCTTTTAAGCAAAGTAGACATGTACATTCAGGAGCATCTTCTTGAAATTTCTGAACAAGATGATTTTCTTAAGCTGCCTCGACTTAAAGTAAGTACATATGTTTTTCTGCTTATTAAAGCATGAAAAGGAGAAAAATGTTAACTGCTGTAGTAAAAAATACTAGTGAAGCCATTTAGTCAGCATACTGGCATCTTAGCATTTTCAAAAGTCTACAGTTGCAAAGGAATGAAAACAATGTACAAGTTTAAATGAAGGAAACCATTTACACCACAGGACACAGGCAGAAATTTCATATACCATGGGTTATAAGCGTGTACCTGCAGGTGGTTGTACACTGGAGAATCTTTAGTAGACATGACCCCTGGGCGCCTCCCCAATAATCCTACCCCACTGTGAGTCCTCAGTTTAGTGCTAGTGTCAGAAAGAGATGGACTTTCTCCTTCACAACAAAACTCATCTTTAGCTTAACTGTTAACTATTATCTTTCAAACCCTCTATCAAGCACTCATTGTCTTCTAATGCCAGTATGGAAGTCAGATCAGCACAATTTCTGTAAAACGTTAGGAGCCATACACAGACTCCATGCATAAGGGAGGGGTGCCAGGCTGTAATGTTGCTTCTGGCACTGGATCCTAAGTAGAAGCTTCCCTTGGCACTTAGGGCAACATGTTAAGTTAGCTGTAGGATGCTATACACTTCCAGGGCTATGGTCATTCCTTCAAAATCCAGTCCTTGAAGAGCCTCTGTGGTAGACAAAGCCTGAACTTTATTTACAGTGCAGCAGCATGGGCAGGCAAGACAGGGTCACCCTGTATCTCTGGTTACTGTTAAAAAAAACAAACAAAAAACTGGTTTATGTTTGCAGTGTATTTACTTCAGAGTACCAACTTTTCAAACTCTGAGCTAATATTCAGCCACACAGAACTCCATGTCAGGTGAATGTCCAGGTGTTGCATCACACCAGTGGTTGCCCACTTTAACACCACTTCGACCTTGAGCCTTTTATAAGGTACTCTTGTGCTTCCTCCTGCTCTTTCGCCATGAGGACTAATTACAGAGCGGTTTACACCTGAGTTGTCGCATACTCCTTATAGACGTGCTTACCCTTTACTGTGCACCCTATTCTGTGAATACCCTCATTTGTAGCTATTCAGAAACAAGGTAAAAGAGAGCCAATGCAAAATTGCAGGCAAACATTCGCTCTGTCAAAGGCCCACGTAACACTCAACCTTAGAGTGACAAGGTGTCCCTTACAATGGATCAAGAACTGGTTCTTCCTCCAGTATTCAATTCTAGTCCTTTTTCAGGCTTGCAACAAGTGGCCTATTGGACAGAATTATTTGCATTTTTCACATTTGTTTGGACAAATTACGACCTTAATACAGCTATCTTCGTCCAGGGCTCTCACAAACTCCATATAGCTTCTCCTCTCCAGGACAAAAATCTTCACACCCCTTCACTACTGGGCAAAAATCTCTACACCTCTTCTCCTATTCCAATTTCTCAATCAAAGTCAGATCCTGATATGCCAGTCCTAGAGGATGCAGACACAGAAGGATAGTGTGTCAAGTGGATATTGAGGAAATACAGCAAACTAAGAGAAGCTGCAGAAGATATTTCTCCCCCAGATTGTCACTATATTGAAAAAGGAGCTTCATGACGCATGTTTTCCAACATTGAAAAGCTCATTGCTTCTATCCGTAAAAGCCATGGCATTTTGCAAGCTCACTCTTCTCCGTTTTGCCATGCTACTTTTTGGTACAAAGGGACCTGCAAAACTTTCCCTGTTCTTGGAACAGAATGTGCTGTCTTCGATGTCTGGGTTACTCCAGAGAGAATTTTCACTCCTTCCAAAAACCTTTACTAAATTCTACCCAGTTGGTGAAGATGTTCCTTCTTTCAAAGATTCTGTAAATAGGAAGTTTGTGACACTTCCAAATGATCTTTAATCTTGCAGGCCCTGCCCTGCAACCAGCTCTGGCTACAATTTCAGGTACTAGACTAGACTAGGGCAATAAACAACCAACATGACTCTGCATTTAAGGATCTTGCTTTTACATAGCAAATGCCTTCTGCTTTACTTTTTCTGTGTAGATGCCCTGGAACACGTCATGAGGCAAATTTCCAGTATGACTCTAATCTCCATTCACATGCACAAAATCTTATAGCTAAAAGCTTGGACTGCTGAAGCTGTCTTCCAAAAGCATTTAAACATATCCCTTTCCAAGAAGATGTCTGTTCTGTGAGGCATTTTTGAGACCAATTTATCATAGGTGGGAACATTTTACTTCCGCAGCAGAAGGTCACAAAACCACCTTCTTCAGGAGCCCCTGACTCCTCAAATTGCAAGGCACCACTCTGCTCTAACAAGGGTTCAGCCTAAGTTCAGTCCTTTTTTTCGGTGCAAGTCTTGGCCCACCAAGGTTACCAAGCCATACACAAAGCCCCTCTACACAATGAAAGGGCACTCTCACTCCTAGTAGTGTTGAGACATCTGTTACAGTTTGCCTTTCCTACCACTCTCTGGGTCACAGAATTCCTAGATCTGTAGTTTCAAAACGATAAAAAATGTAGTTCAGAACTACCACCTCACAGCTGTCCCCTTTCAAATCAGCCAAAAGCTGCCCAAGACAGGTTTGCAAAATGCCCTGAACCACCTCTTGTCCGAGGAAGTCATTGTGCTAGGACCGCTGCTCAACAAGGGTATTCATCCTATTCTCAATTTAAAATCCCTCAACAAATTCCTTTAATTTCCAAACTTTTGTATGGAATCAGCAAAGTCAGTTATTGCGTCTTTGGGAGGGGAGGGGGGAGTATATAGCATCCCTAACAGTCCAAGGAACATGGTTATTGAGAGAAGCCAGGGTTCCCATCAACATCGTAGATCTAAGAGCCGTTCATGGGGGTGCCAGGGAGTCTGGCTGCCTTAAAGAAAGGAAACTAGATCATCTCTTGGACAGAAACTTGCTGTCTAGTGATCTCTGCAGTCCACATTTTAAGGAGTGGACAATTAGAAAGCGGATTATCTCTGCTGGCGTTGCCTGGAATAGGGAATTTTGTATGTGGACATCCTAACCTCCAGATTCCAGATGCTCTATCTCTCTAACCTCAAATGTTTTGATAATCCCCTGGTCTACCTTGCCTGCTCAAGAAAACTGAGCCAGAGAGAAAATCTCTAGATCTAATTGCACCAAACTGGCCCAGAAGAACCAGGTACATAGACGTACTCAGACCTTTAGCAAGATGACCCCTGGCTTCTTCACAACAGACAAATCTATCTAAAGGCCCTGTATTCTATTCTGTGTCTCAATCTCTGGCTTTACTGACATAGCTGTTGAAATCTAGATGTTAAATGGTAGAGGGGTCTCTGAGTCTGTAATTCCTACCTTGCTAAAACAGAAAAACCTTTTCCAGGACTATCAATTATCTTACATGTAATCCTGGAGATTGCCCTTTACCTCGCATTCTCGCTTTCCTACAATCATTTCTTGACCAGAACGTGGTCTTAAAACAGAATTTCACTGTCAATCAACATGGTCTCTCTTTAATCCATATGTTACTATTCGTAAATACATAGGAAAGTGTATATTTATTTTTTTTTTTTTTCACATTTCTTCAGTTACTTCCTGGTTTCCATGTCTATGCAAAATGATTTCATACATGCCAGGTGTCTTCAGGAGGAGGAGGAGGGGTTTTATTCACTAAGCACAGTCTTGTCTGAGCTAAGGGCAGATGGATTCCAGAAAAGTAAATGCTACGTGAATCCTCTGTCCTTACTCAGATGCCCGTGTCCAGAAATGTTAATTATGTTAAAAATGGATTAAATAGCATTGTTGGTTTTTGTTGCTTAGATGCAGTATAGTTCCACTTAAAGTACTCTTAAAGGTCACGTCTTGACCTTATCCATTTTTCAAAGGCCCCTGGACTCTGACCTACCTTAAAGGTCTGTGTCATAATAAAGCGGTAGCAAAGTCTGCTTTTTTACTTGTATCCACAGGTAAGCCAATAACAAGGTTTGCCTTGTAGGTAAAGTGAATATCTCCTAAACATGCACAGTTTACAAGATATTCACATTTTGTAGCGGCTGCTGATCATCGGTGCATGCACACTGTGCTCTCAATGGACGACACACTCGAGCGCGCTTTCCATTCAGAGCGTTGTGTCTCGATTGTGATTCTAGTGCGTAGGAGTAACATAATTGCGGCCTGGCCATTCAAACGGCCAAAGTGTGTTAACCTGGCAGAAAAGACTAAGTGAAGATGAAAGTCCTGTCAACAGTGACAGCGTGCCACTGGGAAGATCTGCTTCACAGGCCCATAGAGACTTCACCCTGCTTTAAGCAAGCTTTTAGGACCCTGCGCTTCCTTGGTATCTCAGCTTGGTTCTCTCTCTCCTGCAGAAACCAGTCATGGACCATTTTGGGGATATCCCCAGAGGATCTCTCATGCAAAGTAGCTACATGTCAGAAGTGTTTCTAAACTGTAAAAAAATATTTTTTCTTTCTTCACAATGATACGGTTGTCTCTATACCCAAGACCATCCTTTTTTTTCTGGAAGTTGGAAGTGGTCTGTGTTCCACCTCAGTGAGGACATCCATTATGCCCTGTTCCTAAGCTTCCTAAGGAAATCTCTCTACATTGCCCAGATGTAGTCCGGGCCATTAGAGTATACCTCATGGCTACTGCTTTGAGCAGTTTTCCCCTCCTTTGTCCTGTTCTCTAGACCTTACATGTGATATCCTGCTTTTAAGTCCACCATTGCACAATGCAAGAGCTTACTTTCTCAAACCGAAATCTCCTCAATGGGACAGCATCGTAATGCAAAGAATGGCTTGGTCAGGAAGGGGGGTAAATCCTTTGGAGGGCAAGTGGTTAAGTAAGTGGTATAAATGCATTGAAGTCCCATCACCCAGAAATAGTTTGTGCCCTCTGGGACCTGTAAGGGCTAGTAGTTCTTGGTGTTCAACAGATCCACCATCCCTGACCCTCTCCAGAGATGAATGAATGTTGCATGCACCTAGGTGAGTATAATTTTTTTTCTCTTTATAAATCCCACATTTCTTTTAATGGCAACTGTGTTATGCAATAGTGATGAACATCCGAAATGTAGCTAAAAATTAAGTGTGTTGGGGTTTTTTTTTTGTTTTTTAAAAAAAAAAAAAAAAAAAAATTAGACTAAGCCTTTTTAACCCTTAATTTGTATTTTAAGATGCTATTTCCATTTTGTTTTTAGGCAGACCTAAACTGAATTAAAATGTCCACAAATCATGTAACGCTCTAAAGCTTTTGTTTTTTTGTGGTTTTTTTTTTTTTTGTTTAGTTGGAAATAATGCTAGAAGAAAATGTCTCCCTTCCAAATAATGGAAAGTTGTACACAAAGGTAATCAGCTGGGTTCAGCGCAGTATATGGGAACATGGAGAAAGCTTGGAGACTCTGATGGATGAGGTTAGTGTTTCGAAGGATTGATTTGGTCAAGTAGCAGAACAAAACTAATTCAAATTGTCCTTTTATAATAATCAGAGCCCAAAATAAAGAATTTCTGTTTTCAGTTGAAATCTGGTAGGTTTAAAGGTGAGATTAATTCTTATTTCCCCATAAATATTTTAATCTTTTTTTTTCCAGTTTTTGTAAGTGCTAAGTGATATTTATTTTGTCTTGAAAATCACTGCAGTCATTCAGATTTTCTTACAGGTTTATGCTTCAAATTACCGTTTTTACGATGAAGCCTAACAGTTTTTCCTCCCCGTTGATTATCTTTCCATAGGTTATTTTACAAAAGTAGGATTCCTGAAACTGAAGAACAATGAAGATACCTCAAGGTTAATTGAATCGTAATGAAGCACCAGTCTGCCCTAGCCTTCTAAGAAAATCCGCTGTGGGCAGAGAGCCATGATGATGATTTAACAGTATTTGCTCCTTTTACAGGATCTGTGTGCATTGTACCATCTAAACATTATCATTGGAAATGCTTTATAAACAAAATCTTGCAGAGTCTTTAGACTTCATTCTAAATTCGCTCTTCACAGATGTTTTTAAGGGGTTATTTTATGTTTTAAAAATATTACATGAGGACACATTAATAATGCAGGATACATTATTTAATTTTTTTTTAGTATTCTCTATCCGCTTTCTTTCATGCAAAAGACAGTTATGCCGCCATGATATATTAAAGACCTATAGATAACACATTACAAGCTCAAATTACAATATATTTTTAAGCTTTGTGATCATATCTCCAAAGCTATAAACTGCAGAAAAAGAAGGCTAAACTTAAAGGAAGCTCAAGTAGTTATAGAAAGTAATCATTTTTGAACCTCTAGGAATATTCTGCATGAATGGTTTTTAAACTGATCTGGTCATCATTTACATCATAATAAATAGAACCAGTCTTGTCAATAATGAATACCTGTGCACAACTTCAGGATGACACATTGAAAACAAAATATTTAAGTCTTGTTTTTTTTTCAGTAAAAGACATTTTAAAATGATACACTGTATGAAGTGAAAGCTACACTTAACTGCTAATGAGAGATATTCTATTAATAAACACAAGGATACACAATGTATTAATGCCATCAGTAACCTGGATTTTTTTAAACCATTGGTTTATTAACCCTATCCACATATAAAATTATTGCATTTAGTCAAGGCTTAATTTATTAAGGCTTTTTCTAGCCAAATGTGTGAAGTTTATATATTCCAAGTGTGGCAGCTGTTGCGGAGGACTATAAAATGGGATATCCATTCAAATTGTTCTGCTTAAGTGCATTTACTGCATAAATTTAAAGAAATACTACCAACACAACCAAACTGAAGCATATAGCCATCATCTGAAAACTGTACAAATTACAAGGTTACAGATGATCACAATGAGTTATTGTGCTCTGTATGGTTATTTTGATAAGGAATATACATAGCTGGCAATCTTTTCTGAATCTTATCTAAAGATTAACATTTTTTTAAACCAGTCATACAGATATACAGAATTCTAAGGGTTCACAAACTTACAGAACTGTATATATGATGCTAAAGATTCCGCAAATAACATATCACCCATATGGGTCTACCATGAGATAACACCAGAACACAGGATTAAAGGAATATTTTCACAAATTAAAGCTTTCCATTGAGCCTTACTTTTAAGATTTTATTCTAAATGGGTTTAATACAGTTGGGAGGAATTGCATGTTTCCATTCTGATACGCTTATTTATCCTGTGGTTTACTGTGACTCAGGCCACTTGTTACATTACACAAGATTGGCCTTTCGTTAAGACATGCATTTTTTTGGGTTTTTTTTTTTAATAGTATGGTTGAATACCTCGCTGGGTTCAAACATAAATTATATCTACGGGGTATAAAGTCTGCGGAATCCTTGGTATTTTATATTCATTTTATGTACTTCACCTTGAGCTTGCTCTAGCTTTAGCAGAACCTTCTTTCCTGTTTGTAACTACTTGCGTAAGAGTATAGTGGAAAGTCCTATCACGTTCTTTTGATTTCATCGAGCGGACATTTGTCCCATGTAAGTTGTCAAAAGGTTGGCATAGTTTCATTTTCTAATACCACTACCACTAGCAATGTGGTTTGTCTGCCTGAAATTTTTTGTGGCTGCATTAAATGTTTAAGCCCATTTCACAACATTGCAAACTGTTTTTCTTCTGCTGCAGTCTTCGCCTTTAAATTCAGATAAATAACTTGTTAAGTTTGTAGCCCACATTTGAAAACCTTTGTACAAAAAAAAAAACCAACCCTGATGCTTTACAAAAGCATTTTGTATGTGTGTTTTATATTTTCCCAACCCTTGTATATCCTAAATTGACGATTTTTGTGACGCTTTATAATTTTCACTTTTTTTATGCACCAGTATTGAAGCTTTGTCTCTTAAGAGGGATCATGTACTTTTGCATATTGGTCTCCGTTTTGCTTACAGACAAACCTTTTCAATGCTGGTTGTGTAATATTTATGATTTTAGAAGCCCTGGGCTTCATTTATTTGTACACTTCTTGCATTTGTGTTTACTGTGTTTGTATATATTGCGTCTGTTCTGCACAATTTCCACTTGAATGTTACCTAACAGTGGCACCTCTTCAGCTGTCTGCTACTTTCTGGAAAAGGAAGATTTTGATGTGAAGACTCCTATAGTGTTTAGAAGAATTGATGCCGTACAGTAGTTTTTACCTCAAAATGGAAACTAAAAATACTTTGAAGATAACCAGAGTTGGAATTTCTGAAGAATTGGTTTTATGGGGCTAGCATCCATATGGCTATTTGTTCACTCTTTTACAGGTACAGACGTTGTATTACTCCGCGGATCACAAGCTGCTTGATGGACATGTCCTGGACAAACATAATGACATGTTTGCTGGTGAAGAAGATGGTATACAGTTGGTTCAGGTACAACACACATTTTGCCTGCTACATTCAATTTTTTTTTCCAGCCTAGTATAATTTTATTTAGACTTGCACTTTCAATATCAGTTATTTTACTTTTGTGGTAGCCTGTAGAATGTTAACATACATATCCATCAACTGAGTTCTTTGGCCCTAGCTTCCCAGGTCATATAATAAGGCTTACCTGTAAGTACAGTAAATATCTCCTAAACATGCACCATATAGGAGATATTTATTTTAGTTGCAGCTGGTGAAGTCACCGGTGTATGTGCACTGTGCTCTCAATGGGGGGAAGGCTGTCCATTGAGAGAGCTGTGCCATGGCTGTGACTCCCACACGCATTTGTGGAAATTATGTAATTGCAGCTCGGCCATTCAAATGGTCGGGGCCCATGAACCCGGAAGGAAGACTGGGTGAAGATGGAACTCGTGACAGCGTGCCACGGGAGGGCTTTCTTTTAAGGTAAGTCTGTCATAATATACTAGTAGCACATCATAATATTATCTTGCACGGGCCTTTTTTACTTCTGCTTTAATATCTTATATATTTAGTAATGGTGTTTTTGTGCTAGGATATGTCTTAAAACATGTATGGGAGGACACCTGACAATGGGGACTCAAAAGCTAGCTAGATATCTTCCAGGATTATTGTGACCCTATGGCTGCTTCTGCTTATTGTGCACCAACAGTAATTGCAGCACGTTTTGACTTTCATCACCATCATCTTCTGCATTTTTTTTTTTTTTTAATATATAATCTATGAAGATGCAGCAGGAGTATAAAAGGAACCTAATGATTTTGATTCAGTGTTTTTTTTTTTCTTAACGACTTGCCCTCCAGAGGATTTACCCCCCCCCCCCCCCCCCCCCCCCTCCTGGCCAGGCCATTTTTTGTGATACTGCGCTGCCTTACTTTAACTGACAGTTGCACACTGTACCCAAATGACATTTACGTCCTTTTTTTTTCCCTCAAATAGAGCTTTCTTTCGGTGGTATTTGATCGCCTGTGCGTTTTTTTTATTTTTTGTGCTATAAACAAATTACTGACAATTTTTAAAAAACCCAATATTTTTGACTTTTTGCTATTAAACATGTCCAGTAAAAAATGCTTAAAAATCTAATTTCGTCATAAATTTAGGCCAAAGTGTTTTCTGCTACAGGAAAAAATCTCAATAAAATAAAGTAAATGAATTGGTTTACGTGAAAGTTTTTTTTTTTTTTTTAACTAGTAATGGTCAGCAACTTATAGCAGGACTGCGGTGGGCATTCTGACACTGGGGGGAACTGACTTGGTGTCACCGACATCCCCAGTTGCACCAATACAGTGATCAGTGCTATTAAAAAGCACTGACACTACTAATGGCGCTGAGCATGAAGGGATTAACATGTGGGACGATCAAAGGGTTAATTGTGTTACTATGAGGCTGCACTGCTATGCAGAGCCATACAAAGCAGTGTTCTTACAGTGAAAAACAGCTGCCTAGTAAAACAGCGCACAGTTAACTCTTTGATTACCCCCACATATTAACCTCTTCATACCCAGTGCCATTAGTACCACCTATGCAGAGCTATACAAAGCAGTGTGCAGGAGCTGATGGGAGAGATCTGTGTTGTTTATACACAGGTCTCTCCCCCGTCGGAGATACTCGGCAATCACCGGGTGCCAGCGAGAGATCATCGGCCGGGAACCGGTGATTGACCGCTGAGGCTGCGAATGGTGGCGTGGGTAAGGCACGCGTGCGCCTATCCGGAACTGCAAAATCATGTGTGTATATATACATGATTTTGCGCACCTGTTCCGCCCAGTAGCAGTATTTCTGCTATAGGGTGGCGCGGAATCGGTTAAAGAGCTGTTTTAGAAATACACAGAAGTGATTTTAAGAGCACCAAGTAACTAAAGAATAACAGAACCACAGTAATCTTCTCCTTTCAGTTAAGTTCTTGATAGCTCTGCCAAAATCCTCTGGTAAGAGATGAGCCACTACTGATTCATTTGACTCTTGTGTGGGTGTAAACTTCAGTTTCCCTGTTGAGCTTTGTAAACATCTGGCTTTTTAGCAGTTGGTGAAGGTTAATTTGAAAATATGTGAAAAGGATCTTAGGCCAAGCCATACAGTATACATTTTTTTTTTTTCCAGCAAATTGAACAAAAAACAAATGTACTGATTCTCCCATCAACACACTCGGTGCTGATGGGAGAATACTTTCCACAGGGCTATTGTGTTCTGCCAGTGGGAGCCTTCCCCGCTATAGCTGGCGGCACTGATCGTTTGGGGAAAAAAAAACAGACTGGCTGGTTCTACACAAGTCAATCAAAAGATCTTGTGTGCAACCAGCTAGCCCATACATGGATCAAAATTCATCTGGTCCCTGCTGAACTTGCTGAATTTCAGTCCATGTACAGTGAGGAACAGAAGTATTTGAACACCCTGCGTTTTTGCAAGTTCTCCCACTTAGAAATCATGGAGGGGTCTGAAATTCACATTGTAGGTGCATTCCCACTCTGAGAGACAGAATTAAAAAAAAAAAAAATTCAGGAAATCACATTGTATGATTTTTAAAGAATTTATTTGTCTTGCATTGCTGAACATAAGTATTTGAACACCTGAGAAAATCAGTTGTTCATATTTGGTACAGAAGCCTTTGTTTGCAATTACAGAGGTCAAACGTTTCCTGTAGTTCTTGACCAGTTTTGCACACACTGCAACAGGGATTTTGGCCCACTCCTCCACACAGATCTCCTCTAGATCTGTCAGGTTTCGGGGCTGTCGCTGAGCAACACGGAGTTTCAGCTCCCTCCAAAGATGTTTTTTTGGATTTAGGTCTGGAGACCAGAACCTTGATATGCTTCTTACGGAGCCACTCCTTGCTTATCCTGGCTGTGTGCTTCGGGTCGTCATGTTGGAAGACCCAACCACGACCCATCTTCAATGCTCTGACTGAGGGAAGGAGGTTGTTGCTCAAAATCTCACAATAAATGGCCCCATTCATCCTCTCCTTAATACAGTGCAGTCGTCCTGTCCCCTTTGCAGAAAAGCACCCCCCAAAGCATGTTACCACCCCCACGCTTCACAGTAGGGATGGTGTTCTTGGGATGCAACTCATCCTTCTTTTTCCTCCAAACACGACGAGTGAAGTTTAGACCAAAAAGTTCTACTTTGGTCTCATCTGACCACATGACTTTCTCCCATGCCTCCTCTGGATCATCCAGATGGTCATTGGCAAACTTCAGACGGGCCTGGACATGTGATGACTTGAGCAGGGGAACCTTCCGTGCAATGCATGATTTGAAACCATGACGTCGTAGTGTTCTACCGACAGTGACCTTTGAAACTGTGGTCCCAGCTCTCTTCATGTCATTGACCAGCTCCTCCCTTGTAGTTCTGGGCTGATTCCTCACCTTTATTATCAGTTATACCCCACGAGGTGAGATCTTGCATGGAGCCCCAGTCCAAGGGAAACTGATGGTTGTCTTTAGCCTCTTCCATTTTCTAACAATTGCTCCAATAGTTGATCTATTTTCACCAAGCTGCTTGGCAATTGCCCCGTACCCTTTCTAGCCTTGTGGAGGTCCACAATTTTGTCTCTGGTGTCTTTTGACAGCTCTTTGGTCTTGCCCATGGTAGTAGTTGGCGTCTGACTGTGGGGTGGAAAGGTGTCTTTAAGGAGCTCAGACAGGTGCTACTAAGTTAGATTGAGTGGAGAGGCACAGTAACAGGTCTTTTGAGAGACCGAATTCTTGCTGTTTCTTAGGTGTTCAAATACTTATGTTCAGCAGTGCAAGACAAATTCTTTAAAAATCATACAATGTGATTTCCTGAATTTTTTTTTTTTTTATTCTGTGTCTGAGTGGGAATGCACCTACAATGTGAATTTCAGACCCCTCCATGATTTCTAAGTGGGAGAACTTGCAAAATTGCAGGGTGTTCAAATACTTATGTTCCTCACTGTATGGCCAGCTTAAAGCTTTAACCAGCTGGTTAAAAAGAATACAAATTAATATTTAAAATTTCCTTGACTTAAATAGACAATATCCTAAACTGTTTTAGTCCTGGTCACAATAAAGGAAAATGTGTATAAAACCAATATTTGTTACCTTAGGAACATGGTGTGAGAATACTAGTTTTGAGCACAGGATCCCCACTGCTTTCACATCCTTGGCTGAGCATGGATTTTAGCCTGATGCATTGTGAACACAGGAGATTGGATGATGGGCATGATTCAGAAAATGCTTTACATTTCCTGAATAAATGAAAAGCATTTTCTGATTGAAAGATATGGAGAGGCAGGGTGGTGACACCTCACTCTCCACCTCCTCCAATCACAATGCTGGACCAATGTAACCATGTGAGAATGTCATACCTAGAATTTATCTTTAATTTCAGAAGTCCAGAAAAGGTTAAGAACTGTGGACATTCATCACTCCTCTCTTCCTCTTTCTGTAACTAAGGATGTAATAAGTAATCAACTATTCCAAACTGCTGATTGATTAGTATTTTTCACACTGGAAAAATATTGTATCTGCGGCACATTTATGCATTCAAGTGTTGTCGTTTTAAGACATGCTGCTTGCAGTGATTTTGTGCATTTTCTGCACATGCATCTTTCATAGGAATGATTGGCATTGTATGTAAAATGCATAAAAACCATACTGTAACAACAAATTAACAAATGAGACATAAATAGGTGCTAAGGGCCTATTTGGGGAAATGCTGGACTGCACCAAGGTAGAAATCCACCTCTTGATCTTTCTCTTTATTAATTATTTGATTGCTTTTACAGAAGAAATCTCCTCGTGAAAGTGACAAGCACATAAGCAGTGGCTCTTCTGGAATTTCTTCTCCTTCAAGTATTGCTGCACCAAACCCCAAACATGAATGGAAAATGATTGCATCAGAAAAAAAGTCAAGTAAGTAGAGTATTGCCTGTGCAATTTTGCTACATTTAGTTAAGCATGGAAAGGTGCATTGCTGCTGAGCAATTGGCCTGTTCTGATCAATAACTGTCTCTGCTGAAAACAGAAAACTACACTTAATTGAAAAATATATTTTTGTTATTGTACATCACAGGACACAGTTATCTCATATTCATTATGATAGGGTTATATTGCCACCATAAGGTGATTGGACACTGGTTGGACAAAGGTTCCCTCCCAGTTAGGCAAAGCTTAATTTTTTTTTTTGCTAGTGTCTACCTAATTTATGCCTTTACGCCGTTGCAGTTTCTACTGGGTCTGCTTCTATTGTGCATGCCTTTGTGCAAGGCATCACATGTATTGTTCCACCAGTCAGGGTTCCATTGACTCCGTGGGACCTCAATTTGTTACTTTCTGTATAGAAAGAATCTTCATGTGACCTGATGTGGTTGCACCTACTATGAGCTCCATGGCAGCAGGTGTTTGAGTTGAGGCTAAAGTTAAGGGTGGAGAGTGGTGTGCTGTCTGACCATCTTTATGCCCGACAGAGTGCACTTCACCAGCTTGTTTGACAGTTTGCTCATCCATCCATCCTGGCTTCAGCAGCCAGACCCGCCAGAGAGACCTGTCAGTCGAATCCATCTGAGACCCATTGGAGAGACCTGTGAGCTGTCAATGGAATCCATCAGAAACCCACCAGAGAGACCTGCCAGTGAGCTGTCAGCCACCAGTGGGATCTGCCAGTTGTGGGGAAACAGCCCAGATCAGGAGGGGGGTTCGACAGCTGCCTACCTGCTTGCAGGAACAGGATACTGTATCTGACCGAATGCATTTGACTGATCTAGCTGACGTCTCATCTGCAGATCCATCCCGACCTCTGCAACATTTCAGGCTGATAATAGAGGAGCAATGCTGCTGCTGTAGTGTGGCCTGTATTTTTCTGTACCTGTACACCCTTCTAGTCCCTCTACTCTTGCAAGATCAGTCAGTCCAGATTGACCCATTAGGAAGATGTCAGCTGCCTAGAAGCTGAGCTTTACAGTGTGCCTGCTTGCCTTCCTGTAGAAGAGCGTGGTAGCGGGAAAACAGGACAGAGTGGGGTCGGAATTTGGGCTCCTTTCCAATCCGCAGTTACACTATAGCCTCTGAGCGGTGTGGAGCAGAGCAGGATCTGAAACGGGTCTTGGAGAAACACCGGAGAGACAGATAGTGGAACAACAAAAAGTAAAGACTTGCAGACTGCTGTCTAGATGGGACGAGTTGAGAGCAGCACCAGTAAACCTACTAAGTCTACCAGCAAGTCTACTGACAACAGGAGGCGGTCCAAATTTCAGGATTCAAAAAGACCGGGGGTGTGCACGAGTGTAAGTGCATGTAGGTGAGAGGAGATTGAATCTTTCCTGTCACATCACCTGGTCCCCTGTGGCTCTAGTAGTACTAGTGAAGCCGCTGTTCCTAACCGAGTATCAGGCAAATCGCAAAGCATGTCAACTAATGTAGCAAGTGGCACAGAGGTTCCTCCACCTGGAACGCTGGAGCTGAAGATGAGAAAAGATGTCTGCACATGGTGAAAGCGATGAGAGAGTTGAGAGCATCGATCCTGGGATAACCTTTAGCCCTGGACCTGTGCCTACTCCAACCCCTGCGACAGTGGGAGCTGGTCACAAGGTAGACTCAGATGTAAATGTCCTTTCAAGTAGCCATGGGTGCTCGATTCGCTCCCAGTGTAGTCAATTTGTTTATCATTCACTGGGAGGAGGAGGTTTTTATTAATGACTGCCCACCCCAGCTTTAATGTTCTAGAAGATATATTGATGACCTGTTTATGGTTTGGGAAGGTGATAGAGGAAGTTTGGAAATATTTATGCAGAAGCTTAATTCCAATAACAAAAATCTCTCTTACATGGAATACTATTCTTTATCAAATGGTCTTCCTTGATTTGGAAATCTATAAAGATAATGGCCATTTTAACCACTTGCCTACTGGGCACTTATACCCCCTTCCTGCCCGGGCCAATTTTCAGCTTTCAGTGCTGTCGCACTTTGACAATTGCGCAGGCATGCAACATTGTACCCATATGAAATCTGTATCATTTTTTCACACACATAGAGCTTTCTTTTGGTGGTATTTAATCGCCACTGGGTGGGGGTTTTGTTTTTTTGCGCTATAAACAAAAAAAAAAATTTGAAAAAAAAGTTTTTATTTCTATTATAAAATTTTGCAAACAGGTAATTTTTCTCCTTCACTAATGTGCATTGATGAGGCTGCACTGATAGGCAATACTAATGGGCACTGGTGGGTGGCACTGCTGGGCACTGATGACCAGGGCACTGATGATCAGTGCCAATCTGTTTTCTGACAATTGCCGGTTATCGGCAGAACTTTCCTCACGCTGACAGCATGAGGAAAGTGCAGCCGATAACCAGCAACTGCATTTACTCGGTGATCTTCTGTGTCATTCACAGCTGATCACGTGGTAAAAGGCTGCTGTGATTGGCCTTTTACCACATCACATGTTCAGCTGTGTCTGTGGGACACAGCATTCATGGAGATCTCTGGGGGTGCACAGGAGGGCTTGTTTTGGGAGGGCGGCATCATATGACACCCTCCCAGAACTGGACAACCACGCTGTAGTCGTCATTCGGCTATAGCATGGTTGGCAAGTGGTTAAGACCAGAAAATTATTTTAAGCCCACCGATCAAAATGGGTATATCCCTTTAGACAGCTGTCGCCATAAAACTTGGCTATCTAATATGCTTAGAGGACAATTTATAAGCTTGAGGCGCACTTGTTCTAAAGAAGATTATTTTCTTTCCCAATCTGCGATATTGGCAGAACTTTTCCAACAGGTTACAAAAAGGCTGTTCTGGAGGAAGAAATCAAAAAAGATGAAACAATGGATAGAAATGACCTAATTTCTTATCCCTAATAGGGCTATTGATAAGAGACATGAGTTTAAAATAGTGTTGGATTATAAAGTACAATATAAGAAGGTTGAAAAAATGTGTTCTTAAACATTGGGGAATTCTTCAAAAGGATAGAGTTTCTGGGGTCAGTCTTACCTTTATGTCCCCAATTTATTTACCGTAAAGCCCCTTCCCTGAGGGATCTTGAAGCTCCAGGGGTGGTTGATCCCCTTATATGTGCTGAGAATTTGCTTCTTTTTTTTTCAGTTTTTTTTTGCCTGTTGCCAGTGTGTGGCCTGTAAAAATCTGAGAGTTAATATGAGGAAAGGGAAAGAATTCATGGCCACAGCCACAGGCAAGGGGTCGTGTACATGTTGGAGTGCAAATGTGGCCTCTAATATGTGGGTAGGAGTTCTAGGCCTCTTCGGGTCAGGTTGAGGGAGCATGTTAACCACATTAAAAAGGGGTTAAAAACCTGTAGTGTAAACAAGCATTTCAGATTGTCACAATTATGACCCAAAAGGTTTAAAATTTTGGGCTATTGAGAAAATGAGTCATCATTGGAGAGGGGGTAATTACATTTGCCAATTGAGCCATAGAGAATCTTTTTGGATATGATCCCTACTGGATTGAATGTTGAATTTGATTTAAATTGTTTTATTTTGGATTGTTATTAATTTGGTTTGTACATTTTATAATTGTTTTATTTGTAAAAGATAGCCGTGGTACCTGGTTTTTATTTTATATATAATGTTTTATTTTTTTTTTTTTTCTACATTTCTTGGTTTTTTGGTGTCACCCAGTAAGTAGCCTACATGGGACACCAGATATTCCGTTTGTATAATTTTTTTTCCGGTTAATTACTATATGCAGCTGTGGCTGTGATGGAAGTCTCTATGTCCGATATACGTGCTCCAGGTTTGCACCAGCTGTGCTTTTTACTTTTCTCTAGTTTTGCCTATTTATTATGTCTCTATGACAGCGGTGATGTTTCATAAGCAGAGAGGGTGATTGCTTGGCTCTTAAAACTGGGGATGTAGCTGTGTTCAGAATTAAACAATTACATTCAAAATCATATTAAATAGGAGTCAGTACACACCTGCCATCATTTAAAGTGCCTCTGATTAACCCCAAATAAAGTTCAGCTAATCTAGTAGGTCTTTCCTGACATTTTCTTAGTCGCATCCTACAGCAAAAGCCATGGTCCGCAGAGAGCTTCCAAAGCATCAGAGGGATCTCACTGTTAAAAGGTATCAGTCAGGAGAAGGGTACAAAAGAATTTCCAAGGCATTAGATATACCATGGAACACAGTGAAGACAGTCGTCATCAAGTGGAGAAAATACGGTGCAACAGTGACATTACCAAGAACTGGATGTCCCTCCAAAACTGATGAAAAGATAAGAAAAAAACTTGTCAGGGAGGCTGCTAAGAGGGCTACAGCAACATTAAAGGAGCTGCAGGAATATCTGGCAAGTACTGGCTGTGTGGTACATGTGACAACAATCTCCCGTATTCTTCATATGTCTGGGCTATGGGGTAGAGTGGCAAGACGGAAGCCTTTTCTTTTGAAAAAAAACATCCAAGCCCGGCTAAATTTTGCAAAAAAAAAACACATCTGAAGTCTCCCAAAAGCATGTGGGAAAATATGATATGGTCTGATGAAACCAAGGTTGAACTTTTTGGCCATAATTCCAAAAGATATGTTTGGCGCAAAAACAACTGCACATCACCAAAAGAACACCATACCCACAGTGAAGCATGGTAGTGGCAGCATCATGCTTTGGGGCTGTTTTTCTTCAGCTGGAACTGGGGCCTTAGTCAAGGTAGAGGGAATTATGAACAACTCAAATACCAGTCAATATTGGCAGAAAACCTTCAGGCTTCTGCTAGAAAGCTGAACATGAAGAGGAACGTCCGCTTTCAGCATACCAACGACCCAAAGCATACATCCAAATCAACAAAAGAATGGCTTCACCAGAAGAAGATAAAAGTTTTGGAATGGCCCAGACCTGAATCTGATCGAAAATCTGTGGGGTGATCTGAAGAGGGCTGTGCACAGGAGATGCCCTCGCTATCTCACAGATT